AGTTTGCCCTGTAACCCCATTTCTCTGATGGATCTAAGAAGAGTTGTTAGTTTTCATTTTGTTCAGTTTTTTTCTTGTGAGGACGGCAGTGATGACTTCTTGGCTCCCGGTGTGTCAGATCAGAAAATGCCTTTGTACACAGAGAAAGAAGTAAAGAAAAATTAATTAAGTTGCTCTTGTCTTGGCTGGGGTTCAGAAAGCACAGCCTGAGGCAGGAACTTGGTACACAGGTGGTTAATGTAAGACGTGATCCCCGGGGGCGGGAACAGTTGGGTAAAGTGAGTCTGGGAGAGCAGAAAAGCCAGTGAACTGGTCTGCAGTAGGGGGTGGAGGGGTGAGGGGCTTAAAGACCCTGCTTTAACACATCTTCACCACAGCCTTGCAACAGAGCCTGCATAGTTGTGACCCTGGTTTTAAGGCTGCCTGTACTGAAAGACGGAAAGTAATGTCAAGTGCTCTATTTTTAGGGGCTGCTGGGTGGCCTGGGGTTGGTCACCCTCCTCTCTGGGGCTCAGCCTCATTCACGCTCACCGAGGGTCTTTCTACCCCAAATATCCAAATGGCTGGGCAAACCCCAGCATCCCACATGGACTGCGTGGGGCCCGAAGCCAAGCACATTTTCACGGAAATTTTGAAACCAGCTGCTTCCTTTAAAACACGTGAGTTTTTGTTCCAAGTCTTCTGACTTTACCCAGTTCCTCTGGCTTATTTATTTATTTTTTGTCCCTTTGGCGTGATCTTTGCTCTCTGGAATGGAGTTCTCAACAGGCATAGCCCTGGGCCTGAGCCGCAGCTGGCTCTGGGCTTCCTACTGTTTCGCTTCTGAGCTCACTTTTTACAGGTAGCTGGCTCTTGAGATGGGGACTGGATGTGAGTCCTGGGGGAGCCATGGCCCGGCCCGGGGAGGTGCACAGAGCGGGGCCGGGGACTACGTAACAGTAGGATGATGGGAATGAGGGTATATCTGGAATATCTAAGAATGTATCTGTGTATCTGAGAATGTACAGTGATAGGAATGTATGTCTCTGCCCAGTCTGAATTCTTAAGTGACTATTGTGTTCTCTGAGGCCTGATATGCACACTTATTTGTAGGTTTTTTTCACCTGTACTACTACCTATATATGCTTTTATTTTGTTGTATTCCCAATGTGTTTAAGAAAGGCTTTATGGACTATGGAAAGAGCCAAGATGTCCATCAACAGATGAATGGATAAAGAAGATGCGGTGTATACATACAATGGAATATTATGCAGCCATCAAAAAAATTCCAAAATCTTGCCATTTGCAATGATGTGGATGGAACTGGAGGGTGTTATGCTGAGCGAAATAAGTCAATCAGAGAGAGACATGTATCATATGACCTCACTGATACGAGGAATTCTTAATCTCAGGAAACAAACTGAGGGTTGCTGGAGTGGTGGGGGTGTGGGAGGGAGGGGGTGGCTGGGTGATAGACATTGGGGAGGGTATGTGCTATGGTGAGCGCTGTGAATTGTGCAAGACTGTTGAATCACAGATCTGTACCTCTGAAACAAATAATGCAATATATGTTAAGGGAAAAAAAAGAAAAAAGAAGAAGATAGCAGGAGGGGAAGAATGAAGGGGGGGAAATCGAGGGGGAGATGAACCATGAGAGACGATGGACTCTGAAAAATAAACTGAGGGTTCTAGAGGGGAGGGTGGTGGGATGGGTTAGCCTGGTGATGGGTATTAAGGAGGGCACGTTCTGCGTGGAGCACTGGGTGTCATATGCAAACAAAGAATCATGGAACACTACATCAAAAACTAATGATGTAATGTATGGTGATTAACATAACATAATAACATTAAATTAAATTAAAAAAAAGAAAGGCTTTATGGTAACTTAACAAAGAAATGTGCAATGCAGCGACAACAGGTAATGAACACTTCTATTTGCTTGCCAAGTGCTGATAACCATTTTTAAACTCATTCAATCCTCAGAATAGCCCTGGGGGGTAAGGTGGTATTATTATCGCCACATTTTATTTATTTAATTTTTTTTTTAAAGATTTTATTTATTTATTTGAGAGAGAGAGAACGAGAGAGAGAGAGCACGAGACGGAAGAGGGTCAGAGGGAGAAGCAGACTCCCCGCCGAGCAGGGAGCCCGATGCGGGACTCGATCCCGGGACTCCAGGATCATGACCTGAGCCGAAGGCAGTGGCTTAACCGACTGAGCCACCCAGGCGCCCCATTATCGCCACATTTTAGATGGAGAAACCTAGGTACAGAGCGGTGAAGGGGCTTCCCCAGGCCGCCAAGCTAAAGAATGGCGGGACTAGGGCCCAACCCGGGTGGGCTGGCTCTGCTCTAGGCTCTGAGCTAGAAGGGTACGCTGAGAAAAGTGAGACAGGGAAGGCGAAGGTAGAAGCTTCTTCATAGATCTTTCTTGCCAGCCTGAGAATAAGGGCGAGCAGATTATGCGTGTTTAATAGATGTGTTATTTGCCCTTTTAAAGACAACTCTCTTATTCTGCTTTCTGTTGTGGGTAGTTGTATCTATAATGTGCAGTGTAGGGGCAATGGTGAGGAGAACCTGCCCCTCCCATTACATTCTGGGGCGATGTGATTTTTTTTTTTTTTTTTTAAGATTTTACTTATTTGAGAGAGAGAGACAGAGAGAGACAGAGACAGAGCATGAGCGTGGGGCAGCGGGGGAGGGAGGAGGCAGAGGCAGAGGGAGAAGCAGACTCCCCGCCGAGCAGGGAGCCCGACACGGGGCTCGATCCCAGGCCCCCGGGGGATCATGACCTGAGCCGAAGGCAGACGCTTAACCACCTGAGCCACCCAGGCGCCCCTGGGACAATGTGATCTTAACTAACCCCTTTCCTCCCCTCCAGGCTCCAGAAGAAGCTTCTACCTTCGCCTTCCCTGTCTCACTTTTCTCAGCGTACCCTTTTAGCTCAGAGCCTAGAGCAGAGCCAGCCCACCCGGGTTGGGCCCTAGTCCCGCCATTCTTTAGCTTTTGCTGAGAAGCAGTCCTGAGTGGAGCAGTAATCCTTCCTGGAATATGCCCAGGAGCCCCAGCCCAGAGCGCACAATGGTGAGAGGAGTAGCATGAAGACCCCCACTCGGATTCCCCCGAATTGCTCCTTCTGCCTTCTGCCTGTTCTTCTACCGTTAGTAACCCATTCCTTCTTTACATAAGCCTTTCATGGGATTTAGCGTGGCCTCAGAGAAGTTGAAGTCCTGGCTCTGCCACTTATTGGACAGGTCATCCTCGGGTCCGGGAGGTGAAGAGGTGTCTGGCATCACCAACCTACAGCGGGCACTCCAATCCTGGTATGCATTTTTCTTTATTGTGAATCCCCAAGGCAGGGAAATGGACTTAGGTTAGGGTCATCCAGCCTCATTGTTCCCCAGATCAACCACCTTAAACATTTTCTGCATCTGTTCTGCAACTGCGTATAGAGTTTCTGCTAGTCGAAGAGATGTTTAAAAGTATAAGTAAAATTATTGCTATGTTAGCGAGACTACATTTCTTTTTCTTTCTTTCCTTCTTTCTTTCTCTTAAATTTTAAGTAGGCTCCATGCCCAGCGTGGAGTCCAGCATGGGGCTTGAACTCATGACCCCGAGCTCAAGACCTGAGCTGAAATCAAGAGTTGGAGGCTTAACCAACTGAGCCACGCAGGCGCTCTGGTACTACATTTCTTGTTTCTTATTTCTCTCCTTTAACCAAACCAAATCCCTCCAGCCCCTTCCACCCCCCCAAGCTAGAGTAAATATGGAAATACATTATCAAGTGGACGACTGCCATAAAGAGAAAAAGTTTATTCCTAAGGGCTTTCCAGGTTTTTCTTATATCCTGTGGGTTCAATTCCAAGTTCCTATAATTATCTAGATACACAAGAGTTTCCTACATTGTCTGTGTAGACATAGGTGCCCTCGATGTTACAAAGTTATAAAAGCAGAGCATTTGTATAAAACAGAACATCCTGGGAGGGAGGGAAGAAGGGGAGCATGTGAAAGTCTAGAAAGTCTGAGAAGGCTTAGGCTGCTCCTGTCTGGGACACGGTAACCCTAGTGGGGCTTCCAAGGACATAAGGTCCTGCTTGTCTTATCTCCCCCAGTTGAGTTTAGACTCCAGAGGGACAGAGCTCACCTTCTAGAATCTCAGACTCTAAGTTAGAAGTGACTTAAAGGTCCTCTAGCTCCAGTCCCTCACCCCCTGAGTGGGAATTCTCTCTATCCTATCCCGAAAAGATGGCTCCCACACCTGCTTGCATCCCACCCTGCAAGATAATTTACATGGCAAGTGGCAGAGTTAAATAACCCTTTCGTTTAACTTGGTGTCCTGTCCCAGGACCTAGGAGAGCTCACTAGACCAAAGCAGCGGGTCAGGTTTCAAGATGCTTCCTCCCGCCCTGGCTCCCGGGTGCCAGCCTAGAACCTGAAATACCATCCTCAGCGTCTTCTCAGGGACGGAGGTGGGTAAAGACATCACAGGTTTTGGAGCCCCCAGGCCTGGGTTCAAGTCTCGCCGCCTACACTGCTCAATGGCTGTGTGGCTTTGGGCAAGGTAGCAAGCACAAGTCTGTGCCATCCCCTGAAGAAGACCAGGAATAATCCCTCCAGGGGATGTAGGGAGGGGTCACTGGGTGCATGAGACCAGCATGGGACACAAGCTCCCCCAGCTACCTTCCTGTGTCTGCATGAGAGTGTGAGCATTGCTGCGGGGAGAAACGGCTTCTTAGCGGCATTTACCCCAGCACCGAGCACAGGGCATTGCCTGGTGTACCAATAAGAGAAAAATAAAATACCCAAGTCACTTATCGGTGCCTCCAGAATCTAGAACAGAGCTCTGTACTCAAATATCTCTCAGAGGCCTGTTCACAAACAGGCAAAACTCTGCTGCCCTCTGTCTTCAGAACAAAGACCTGTTCTGTGCACTCCACAGTCTGAAACGAAAGATAAGCTAGCTGACGCGTTCCAGACTGAGAAACCGAAACTGATGTGTTTTTTGCTTTTTTTTTTTTTTTTTTTCCTTATGCCTCTTGCTGGTGGCTGAGTAAGACTGAGTTACTCACTAGGCATGGCTTCCCAGCCTCAGGGGGGAAAAACAGTTTTAGATGTCCAGACCTGGGAGCAGACATTTCAAGAGCTGATGCAGCAGGAGAAACCCCGGGCCAGATGGACCCTGAAGCTGGATGAGAAACTGGAGCCGGACTGCCTTGCCGCAGGCTGGATGCAGTACCAGCAGAAAGGATTTGGCAGGTGAGTGAGAGTTGGCTTCTCAGCAGACTTTCTCTGGCAAAGGGGGTCAGTTTAGCAGCGACTGGTTGATTCCTTTGAGAGCTTGTTAAAGGAACCAGTGTCTCCAGGATCTCCATTCTTTCGTGGCCATGGTGCTCTTTCCATTTTGCTTAGCCATAACATAGAAAGAAAGAAGTTTCTTTTTTTGCTAGGTTTCCTCCCTAAATATTTCTGGAGGTTCTCAAGGAATGCTTCCATATTGCACACATCTGCCCTCCCATTCTCTTACCATCTCCTGTTCCAGACTGCCTCTATCTAGAGACTTCTGCTATTTCTGCCCTCAGTCCTGACTTCCCCAGGCTGCAGCAGCCCTCCTGGCCCAAGCACCAGCCCGGGACCAGGGCCTTCCTTAAAGCCCCAAGAATAGAGGGAGGCCACACAATCACTTTTTTTTTTTATAAGATTTATTTATTTATTTGTCAGAGAGAGAGAGCAAGCACAAGCAGGGGGAGTGGGAGAGGGAGAAGCAGGCTCCCCACTGAGCAGGGAGCCCGATGCGGGGCTCGATCCCAGGATCCTGGGATCATGACCTGAGCCGAAGGCAGACGCCCAACTGACTGAGCCACCCAGGCATCCCCACACAAATCACTTTGAACATGACTTTGCTGAAGGCCTGAGGATAATAGAGGGAATGGTGCAGCAAGAAAGATATCTAAAACCTAGTTCCTGGAGTCCGTAAGTAATGCCCCTCTCCTATATATGTCATCTCCCCTCTTCACCCCCAGAGAGCCTGCATACTGCAGGGAGCAATTTCCTTGCCTGGGTCGGGGCGGGGTAGCGGGGGCAGGGAGAAATGTTGACCTGGGCAGCCAGGTCTCCTTTTATGCAGCACACCTCCCCTGTTGTCCTGCAGCCCTCTCTGCCCCACCCTGACTCCATCTGTCCTCTGCTCCATCCTTATGGATTACAAACCATGCCCATGCATTTTCAGACTTCTGTTCCCTTATCATGATATTATGCCTGTTGGGCAGGCCCTTTCCTCCCTCCCCTGTACTCATCCTTCAAGGACCAACTCAAGTGCCACCCCCTCCTTAAAGCATTCCCTGGTCTTCCTAGGCGGAGTAAGGGTTCCTTCATCTACATTCCCATAAGATAATGGTTTTAAATATATATATTTAAAAACAAGCTGGGTATCCCTTTATGACTCAGTTTCCTTCTCTTGACATTGGGCTCAATAATGCCTCCCTCAGAGGGGAGCTTTAAAGATGAAGTGGGATAATATTGCAGCCCCTATTACAGTGCCCCCCGCAAAGTAGTTGCTTTATACGTTTTCTACGATCATGAGGAGGACCGAATTTTGCTGGCAGATGGCAGAACTACTTTTCCCTCTGAGACATCCAGAGATGTTTTAGTAGCAAAGAGGCAAACTTGGGACCACGTAGGGTAGAAGCTCAGCGGGTTACAGGAAAAGGCTTTATTAAAAAACACAATCCCTCTCATTCTTATTTGGCAATTTGTTAATATCATATGCACATTCTCATATTGGAAGAAATCTTAGAGACCAAGACCAGGCCCACCTCCTTCAGGTCAACAATCACCTGAAGGCACAACAGCCTTCTTCCTTCTGTCTGCAGGTTCCAGTGTTCCTCATGCCAGCGAAATTGGGCTTCCGCTCAAGTGCATATCCTCTGTCACATGCACCTGGAGCCCCAGAAGTCCCAGGGCCAGGTGATTATGCGGCTCTTTGCTCAGAGGTGCCAGAAGTGTTCCTGGTCTCGATTTGAGAATCCTGAGTTCTCCCCAGAGAGTGCCATGCGAATCCTGAAAAACGTGGTAAGGCGTATTCTGGAGAAATTCTACGGGAACGGCTTTAGGAAGTTTCCGGAGCTACCAATCATCCGGGAGGTGCCTTTGGATGGGTCCCATGACACAAAAAATTGTGAAGCATGCACCCTGGGCTGCTGTTTATGGAGGTCACGAAGCAACGTGACAGAGCCATCAATATCCCCATCCTCCTTTATGGATATTAGGAGTTCCTCTTGTCACATTGGTGACGTGTCTGGCCAAAACCAGGAGTGTGGGTCTAACTATATCTTGAAGGAGTCAGGGTCCAGCCATACCACTGCTGAGACCCAAGCTCCTGGAGCAGGGCCTCAGCCCAAAGGGGAGACTAGTAGACCGCCCACCCCAATGGCAGATAGGGAGGCCACACAGGAAAATTCACAACCCACACAGGAGACAGCACCACAGACACCCTGGAGGACATACTCTGAGGCTTTAAGGATGGCCCGCCAACAGTCTACACAGCAGTCATTCTCACAAGCCACATGGACCATGCCAAGGATAATCTCGACGTCTACAATAGGGTCATACCCTCAGACTAGAGGAAGAACAGCCCCCTCTACACTAGGGTCACACCTACAGCTTACACGGAGGACAGCTAGGGGCCTCGTGATCCTCAGTAGAACTCAAGCTACCTGGAGACGTTCATCCAGATACTCCGTTCCAAACACCCATCACATATACCCTCATTCAGTGCAACGAGATGTATTCTTTGACCTGGATATATTTTTCTACTTCTGGATCTGTATTATTTTGTTCTTTGTCTTTGTAGGCAAATATTCAGAAGCAGAAAAAGGGAAATAAGTTTATTTTCTTTTCTTCTGTCTTAATTCCATGGTAATCAATGAACTGGTTACCATTTATTTTTATTTTTTAAAGATTTTATTTTATTTGACAGAGAGAGAGAGACAGCGAGAGAGGGAACACAAGCAGGGGGAGTGGGAGAGGGAGAAGCAGGCCTCCCGCAGGGCAGGGAGCCCAATACGGGGCTCGATCCTAGGACCCTGGGATCATGACCTGAGCCGAAGGCAGACACTTAATGACTGAGCCACCCAGGCACCCCAAGAACTGGTTACCATTTTAATATGACACAGAATATGCTTTGAGATCAAGTAGGGTCACATTTGAAAGAATAAACACCAGATCTAGTTTCCTAGATCTCCTTAGCAGATAGTCTAAAACATAACCTAGAAGAAAATGGACCAATAATAAATATTTGTTGAATCACTAAAAGCTCTTCATGCATTCATCCACTCATTCATTTCTCTCTCTCTCTTTATGTATATCTTGACATATCTTCACAAGAACTGAGGGTCATGAGTGTTAACAGAGAGTTATTGTGGTAGGCAGAATAATGGCCCCCCAAAGATATCCATTCCCTCTTTCCCAGAACCTGTGCATATGTTAATTTACATGGAAAAAGGACTTTACAGATGTGATTAATTTAAGGATCTTGAGATGAGGAGCTTATCCTACATTATCAGGATGGACCCAATGTAATCACAATGGTCCTCATAGGAGGGAGACAAGAGTGTCAAAGTGGGGAAAAAGGAAATTTAATGGTGACAGCAGAGCTTGGAATGATGGGCTTGGAAGATGGAAGAAGTGGCCGTGAGCCAAGGAATGCAGACACGTCCTAGAAGCTCATAAAAACAAAGAAACAGATTTCCCCTCAGAGCCTCCAGGAGGAACCAGCTCTGCTGACACATGACCTCAGCCCAGTGAGACTGATTTTCGACTTTGGACCCCCAGACCTGTAAGATAATAAATTTGTGTTGTTTTAAGGCACTAAATTTGTGGTGACTTGTTACAACTAAAATAGGAAAGTAATACAGCTATCAATATCACCTCAAGGATCAGGCAATTATGTTTTAGGTATGCTTCAGTTTTAACCAAAAAAGAGAGATTAGAAATATTGACAGGGCGCCTGGGTGGCTCCGTTGGTTGAGCAACTGCCTTCGGCTCAGGTCATGATCCTGGAGTCCCGGGATCGAGTCCCGCGTCGGGCTCCCCGCTCGGCGGGGAGTATGCTTCTCCCTCTGACCCTCCCCCCTCTCATGTGCTCTCTCTCTCTCTCTCTCTCATTCTCGCTCTCTCAAATAAATAAATAAAATATTAAAAAAAAAGAAATATTGATATGCCGGTCCCCTCTTATTCTTCCTTCTCCCCTACTTAAGTCTATGCCCAAGTGCCCCTGTCCAGAAGAGACTTCCTTTGATTTGGTGACCCCTGGAGCTATCCTGTTCTTTCACTTCTTCCAGCACTGGATGAGGAAACATGCAAGAGCTTGCCAACCCTGAAATAGTATGACGCATGGCTGCGATGTTCACTCCTGCCAGCCATTTCTACATGCCTCTCAAACCACAGTCACCATGTTTAAAACCAAGCTCATCGGCATCTCTGACTTCCCAGTCCTAATTTGACTCAGTCACCCAAGCTGATCACCTTAGAGCCATCTTTAATTTCTTCTCCCTGTCACCTACACTTACTGTCCCTTGTGTTGTCAAGTCATCTGCTCTCTTCCTATCAGCCCCTCTCCCCAAATAGTCTAAAAGCTTAAATTACTGAGATAACTAGAGAATTTGGTTTTTACCTCATAGGCAATGAAGAGTCATTGCTAGCATTTGAGATGGTCAATTTGAGTGGAATCACATGTTTAAAATATTATATATTTCTAGAAAGAATGGAGTAGAGAATATAAATAGTGAGGAGTCTGACTTGAGATAGCATAGTGGTAAACACAGAGAGTGGTACCTACAGACAGTAAAGGTCTTTTTTTTGTTTTAAAGATTTCATTTATTTATTTGACAGAGAGAGACAGCGAGAGCAGGAACACAAGCGGGGGAGTGGGAGAGGGAGAAGCAGGCTCCCCGCTGAGCAGGGAGCCCGATGCAGGGCTTGATCCCAGGACCCCGAGATCATGACCTGAGCCGAAGGCAGACGCTTAACGACTGAGTCACCCAGGCACCCCAGACAGTAAAGGTCTTAAAGGAATTTGAAAACAGTGAAATGTCCGCGGAATACCCAGGGATAAAAGTATCTCTTTTTCTCTTAGGCCACTCCCACCAGCATGCTCCTTTTATCAGTACCTCCTCCCCAAACCACCCTCCTGTTTTCACACCTTTTCGGTTCCTTCACAAAGAACATTGGCCTGGGGACTAGACACTTTATTTCTAGCCTGGTTATGTTGTAGGACCTGGGGCAAGTCATTATCTTTCCCTGGGCCTCAGTTTCTCTATCTCTAAAATAGGTTAATGTCTTCCAATGAAACACAGTGGATTGAACACATGCATTTCCCTCTGAGCTTCCTTGAAACCTTACTGAGTGATAGTGAAAGGGGGAAAAAAAGGCACCAGTACACAAGGGTAAAGAGACTGCGCAGAAGCCAGAAAACTGCTCGACTAGGGATAGATCACTGACTTAGCAGGGTAGAGAGATCTGGAATAGACATTAGGCAAGGGAAAACTGAGGTGCAAAGCAATTCATATGGCACAATTTCAGAAAGTTCAGAAACTGCAGGCAGCAGTGCCTCTGAAGGTGGGTGTTGAGGCTGCTAAAGTGGAAGGACTGGCTGAAAGCCTTTATAGCAAGTTTCTTTCCTCCGCTACTCTGTAGCCTGGTGACCACTCTTAATGGGCTCCAGGGAGAAGAATGGAGGTTTATTCTCTGAAGACTTAGAGGACTCTGGACTAAGGGACTTAGGCGATGTGAAGGGAGAGAGGCCACCCAGCAATTAGAAAGATCGTTCAGGTCTACACACTGACCCTTGGGACTCCCTTACCCTACCACGAAAACTAAGAGCCATGCCAACCTTCGATCTTACCCACCCACTCCTCTAATACACAGGAGAGTGGATGGGTCCTCTTTGGGAACACTTATGAGCTTAAGAGAAAAAACAATATATATCTACTTAAAAGGGTGGTGGGGGGGAGGGCGTTTCATCCAATGGAATGACTAGCTGAAGTGTCTCCAGAGTGAATCCACCAGATACAAAAACTCTACAGAGCTTCTAGTCAACACTTTGGTGTCAGACACCTAATTTGGACAGACTGCCAAGGGGTATCAGATATTTGATACAACTCCAAATGTGAAGGCAAAAAAAAAAAAAAAAAGATGAAAAAAAGTGGAGAGTCAAAGAAAACAGAGATAATTCAAAGATAAGAAAAGGAACCAAAACATATTTCAACAGTAAAGCTATGATTTATGCCTCAGAGAGATAAGGGAAGGTATAATATTCACAAAACAAATTAGATGGATTCTCTGCAGCAACCTCAGGTAAGGCAGCTATCTTTGGCTGGAGGTGAGTCCTTGGGGGGATCTCAGCTACAAGTCTTTAGCAGGCAATGCTCCCAAAAGCTGGGGGAATGAGTGCCCTGGTCCAGAAGGCAGGGATCTGGGCAATGGACCACAGCCTCCACTTCGGTCAATATTTTGCACCGCTTCAATCCACTTGCTTGGTATAGATGTTCAGCTGGCAAACTGAGCCCCATCACTGCATCTGTCTTGGGGTGGCAACTAGATATTCACTATCTCCCTTTACTACCCAATCTCTATTGCCCTTACCCAGGCACCTCTGCCGTTCAGGTGACTTACCCGGTGGGGTTATCCAGACCTTCATCCTTGAAGGGTATGGGCCCTTGGTCACAAAGGTCTTTCTCAGTCTGTGGCATCTGCATTTGTCCACCCACTGTCAAAAGTGGACAGAAAAGTACTGAGAGACCCCGGTGGATCATTTGGGTGCCAAATATATTCTTCCTGCCCCCACTGTGTAACAGGAGTCCTATTTCCCTCCGACGATCAGGAGAGTGACACTTTCTTGCCTGCTGTTCTCTTGGCAAAAATTCTGTGAAACGACCAGCCATAGCTGGTCATGGGGTTCTTGCTGTGTTCCTTAGTGGGAGCAGTCCCCACCCAGCATGGCCAGACCTGAGGAGACTTGTGTTGTGGTTGGTGGGACACCTTGAAAATGGCACCTGATTTAATGTGAGTGATGGTAAACAGGGTCACCCCTACATCCACCTCTTGATTTCCAGACCCATACACTCTACCTACTGGGACTACACACATAGTGGTCATTGATTCAGAATGTGTACTATACTCTGGTGGATGGTGACTCACCTTTGCAAAGCAGCATCTCCAAGAGGCACCCCAGCTGCCTCTTTAAGAGGCTATGTCATTGATCTGTCAGGCTGGCAGCTTCTGGGTGGTGCTGTATTTGATGAAACCAGGAAATTTCATGCCCTTATCACCTCTGCTGTAACTCTTTTGCTACAAATTTGGTCATTGATCTAATGTGATATTATGTGATGTGTTAGTTTGCTAGGGCTGTGAGAAAGAATCTGTTCCAGGCTCTCACCTAGGATCTGGTGGTTTGCTGGCCGTGTTTGGAGTTCCTTGGCTTGTAGAAGTGTCACCTTGACCTCGCCCTTCACTTTCATGTGGTGTTCTTCACATGTGCATTTCTGTATCCAAATTGCCCCTTTCTTTTATAAGGACTCCAGTATGACCTTATCGTAACTAATCACTGTCTATTTTCAGCTTTCACCACATAATTGAACTAAACCATTGGTGAACCAGGAGTGGCCTTTTCCCTCCTCTGTTGACTGGTCCTAAGTAACAGCCTCTCCTGAACATGTGATCAGCTGTGAGCTGAAGGAGAGGCACTAGTGCACCAGTGAAGGTCGACCTGGGGGCTGGGCCACGACTTCACCCAGTTCCTTTGTATTCTCTATCCCTGGCTTGTGCTCAATCCCAGGATGCATCACTTCCATATTCTGATGGATTATACTGCGCCTGCATACGACTAAATGGGCCTTTCAGAATCTAGGTCATGATGGACATCTCTGGCCCCATCATATTTTGGTATCTCACCATCAGGAGTTTTACCTTTATGCAGCCAAGTGGCTTGTAGGGGTTGGTTTTTGA